CTTCTTCTCCGCATGCACTGTCACTATATAACTCAGGACTTAAGCACCTGCCCCCTCCTCCTTGCTTGTTTCCTTACTTTCCCCCGACACACTTTGGTGTATCACGGCCCTCTCTGACTCATATTAGGAAGTTTTTCCAATAAAGGCTGATAGGCTAGTCTCCAGGGAGGGTGGGTGACGGTCACAACCACGCATTATGGGTATAAAATACTTGACTGCAAGATTAACAGTGCATCAATCTTCACAAGAAGCTTACACCCTTTAGTGGCGCTAAGCTATGAAGACCAATGCAGACAAAAAAAAAATAAATAAATAAATAAATAAATAAATTTTCCCCTCAAGGCTGTATGATACATATTCTAGAACACTGATGCTTCACATCCATCTTTAATCAAGCAGAACAGATGATCTGTGCAATCAGCACCATCACCAACTCAGTATCTGACCAAATGTCTCCCTCTATGTTCCTGAGTTATGGCGTTGAGTAATGACCAGAAATATGTAATGTCACAGTGGAGTCAACCTTTAACTTTTTACATACAAAATGTCATCACTTCATCATTTTATCCTTTTAGACATGTGTATGAAATTTTGTCATAATTAGCATATGAATTCCTGAGTTATGGGCAAAAACATATTTTGGTGACCTTTGATCACCAAATTCTAATCACTTCATCAAGTGGATTCCTTCAAGGCCTTCTTAAGATAATGCATTCACAAGAATAAAACGGACACAAGGTCACAGTGACCTTAACCTTTGACCACCAGTCTGATCAGTTCTTCTTTAAGTCCAAGTGGATGTCTGTGCCAAATTTCAAGAAATTCCCACTACGGCATTCTTGAGATATGGACGGATGAACAACCCAAAAACCAGCCATGGCTATCATGACCCCGAGCCAAAAAACAAAACAAAACAACAATTCTAAACAAAGAGGGTCTAACTCAGAGATATGATTTCTAAAGTGAAAGACTGAAAAGTAGAAGTGTCCAATATGTTTCCTCACAGGACTGACAAGAGTCATTATTTATGAGTCTGTCGATGTGCACTGCGAAGTGCACCTTTTCCTCCTGCCTGTGCAATGTGAACAGCAGCTGAGACTCTGTTTTACTTAAAGTATATCCTTTGTCAAGATGAAGATTGACAACATGATTTGATTTGCACACTTTTTTGGAGAATATTTTTTAAGTCATTGATTGCCAGTCTAATATCAGACTCTTGACTTGAGTCTGACACGAGTCCAAGTCATCAGTCCACATTTCTGGAATTTAATAAATGTCAGTATTAAAATAATAACAATAATTCTATGAGTTGTTGAGACTGTTTCACAAAGGTGTTGAGTCAGCTCTTTAATTTTAAAGGCTGTGTCAAAATGAACAAAAGGTTTTGTTTGACATCTTCAATGTCCAGGTCAGAGACAGTTCAGAAAAGCAGATATATGATAGGCAGGACTGCACTGGAAAATCTGCTGTGTTGAAAAAACAAACCCACATGACCCACAGCCAGCACAAACTCAAATAAGTTTAGTACCAGCAGTGATATCTCAGCTGAGCTTTCATAGCAGCTGGTCCCCCTCTACTGCTCCATCTGCTTTTTCAATGTACTCACAGTTGTAGAGCAAAATACATTTCTCTTAACTGCGCAGTGCACATATCATCTCTGAGATCATTCATTCTCACACAACCAGTGTGTCCTACCTCACTGATATTGCTGTTGGATTCAAGGCCAACATTATAGCAAAATAACCCTGACCACAGACTCTACCTCACCTACCTTAAAACTGCAGCTGCAGGTATCAACATACACTGACACAACAATAGGCAAGATAAAAGAGGCTGTAACCATCTGCTATACACACCCTAAGGACCCCAACATAACAACCAGCTCAACAGGAATGATGTTATACAAACTGCATACTGTTTACTGTACTGCAGTATGTAGTTTTGTTCAGTTGTTATACTCGTATGATGCTGGCTGC